ACCAAGCTATTTCTAATTTGTCTTGTGTTGTTGATTGTAAACATGATTGTAAGCTATTATTGAAAAAAATAGTCCCGCTGGGTTTCTTGCTGGTTCTTCCCAGGACAGAGGTTTTTTTTGCGAACCAGTGGTAAATTAAAAAAAGTGACCTTCAATAAGTATTTTTATAATCTACATTGAATAAAAAAGTTTCTATTTCTATTTCTATTTCATGGTCACCGGAGACACTTTTAAGTTTTTGACGTCCCCATGTCGTAGTTAGCCCGTACTACCTTCAGCTTTGATTATTTATTTTTAGTCCAATCTACGCAGAACGAGCTTACAGTATCTTGAAGTTTTGCAGTGGTATGCTTGGGTTTAAATTTAATTATATTATTTATAGATCACAAGTTCCCAAGCAAATAGTTGCATCTAGTCATTTTCTTTATTGCAATTTAGATTTTAATAGCCTCGCGAATCATCCGTAGTGGAAATCAGTAATCTATTGCGAGAATTTCGAGGTTCCTAGACTGCAGACTCATTCAAGTCTTCAGTATCTGTATTATATTACGCATTGCATATTTGATAGACCATAAATCCTCGGAAAGTCGTGAAATATTCGTGTAAATATAAAAAAGTATTAAATAAATACACAGTCATATGTTACAAGTACGTACTAGGTTTTACCAGCTACAGTACAAGTAAAGGAATTTGTTCATCATGTTTACTTCACCGTCTAGAGCAACTTTTTTTACAAAATTACTTTTAAGACAAAATATTTATCAAAGTACAGGTGAACCCTAATGAGTAGCTTGCAGGTGAGCGTGTGTCGTTCCTTCCACTTTCACTTGACTAGCAAGTGTATCGCAACCCAGATCGCTCGACGCACTTCGTCACGCGACTGGCGTGGCGTTGCCGTAATCGTACCGTATGGCTTGGATTCTTCGTCATTTTCTTTATAAATCAGATATCTGTCTTTAACGGTAGAAGTCATTTTAAAAATACATTTTATTTTATTTATTTATTAGACTTTTTTGAATTAGAATAAGGTTGACAAACGAACACACAGTCCACCTGGTGGTAAGTGGATGCTGTGCCCTTAGACATCTACATTTATCCTCCATAAAGAATCAAAATGCAACATAAAATATGATGTAAGTATATAGGAGGACTTGATGACTGAGGCATTCTCTACCTTTGGGTGATGCAGTGATAAACATTTGAAGCAGGTGTGTAAAATGTTAAAAGATGGAAATGTGAATTAAAATAAATAAATATAAATGAAAATAATACCACCATACATAGGTACATAAACATGCGTATCAAAATTATTTAATATATGCATAATAATTTAAATAAATACATAAATTATATATTTATATATATGCAAATGAGCTACTAATGAGATGATTCTTCCAGTTTATCCAAACAATGTTCGCGAACTTTCTTGAATGTGCATGACGGTTGTTAGTCGTTCTCATTTCAAAAGGGAGTGCGTTCACAGTAAACCAATAAAGAAAATAACCAATGCACTAATTGTATAAAGATATACATCTTTATATAATTAGATACATACAGAGGGGTAGGCACAAATTATGTTCCCTATGGCATGATTTTGACACTCCTCTCTCGTTTTTTTCAAATCCATACGAGGCATACATGCTCGTCAGTTAAGGGTACTTTTAATTTGGTGCCCCTTTAGTACATGTATATCAATGTACTATTTACGCGGTCGTGTTTTTTCAAATTACTGTTTTAACCATTGATTTTTTGTCATCTTTATCTTTATTCTAGGTTGTTTCAAAATTAGATAACTGAATCATGCCAACACAAACTAATTCACTTTCGCTATTTCATACAAAATGTTGTAATTATTGTTACTATACTAAGTGTAATTTCCTACGGTTCAATTGTGAGGCTGGTCGTCAAACCCAGTTCACATAAGCTCTCCGTGACATCACAATTGTTGCACACATGGGAAGCTGGGAAGAGTTATTCCGTGACTCGTTTACTATTCTATAGCTGTATTTTACTTATCTCTCGGCTTTTTTTTATTGTGTGGTAGTAAATGCTTTAATATTTTTTATCGTACCGTAAGGAATAAAATGTTGTCTTGCGTGACAGTAACATAAAATTTAAATTACAAACGAACAAGAACAAATTATTAATTTTAATTTACCACCTTTTTTACATTGTCATCCGATTCTGAGCTGCGTTCAAAATTTCGAGTATCGGGAAGTTAGTTCACAATCAACTCGACCCGAAGTAAAAAGAAAAGAAAGAAACCCATACACGAAAGCGAGTTAATAAAAACGTGGCAACAAGTTACAAGACGCCGATTAATGTTTAAAATCAATAACAACTGACTGATGATCATAATAAAGCTTACATGTATTCACATAAATAAAAAGTATTGACTTAATAATACAGAAAAATCTTATTTGAAATCTGGAAAAATATTCTCAAAATGTCTTTTTTTTTAGTATTCCATACCTTGATGTTAAAAGTCTTTGTTATTTTATTCGGAGACCATTTTATTGGTCATCCATTTCAGTCATCACAAGTGTCAACAGATGTGATATTATATACATTTAGATTCTACATCAAAGCTAGATTTAGCTATGGGCACATCATCCATTTATCTTCGGGTCGACTGTGTGCACGTTTGTTATTTTAGCGTAAACATTTATTTTTAAATAAAAAGCGAAATAACTTTAAAGAAATAAGAACAGTTTACAATCATATATGTTACACAAAACAATAAAAAACAAATTAAAAATAGCTTGGTAGCGATCACCTTATTGCCATGGGTTATCATCCATAAATTCCTTATTTTTATACTATTATAACTATTTTTATATGAAGTTTGTTTAATAAAGTTATTGAACTTTGCAGTGGGCAGATATTGTATATTAAATGAAGATTTCGCGTTGTTGATACTTTCAAATAAATGTCATTCATAATTTTTAAATATTAGTAGCTATAATAATAATTGGTAATGTTGTTATAGGGCTCCTAGGGAAGCAATGTAAGAGCTTCATAGCGGAGACACTGGACATAGTCGTCATGGTTAACGGGCAGGTTACGGACGGCAGATGTTTATTTTTATTTTTTGGATGTGTCCATTTCCATATGCCTTTGTCGCTTCTTACGACACTCACGGGATATTTTTTACGACACACACTGAGGCAGTTGCTTGGATATGCCGCCACTTCCTCACATATATATGTATCATGAATGGGTGGGCTCCACCGAGGTGGGACCACGCTCGTCAAATAGCAGTTTAATGCAAATAATTAACGTCAAATAGCGTATAGTGAGTGTAGAAGACCGGAGATCCTATTTACATGAAACGAAATATTCCATCGTAGTCCTCATGGGTGACAACGCATGTGCATTTTGATTCTTAATTGGGGTGATAAATAAATGTTGATGTCTATCGTGGTCCATAGACATCACCATCTATTGTCACTTGTCAACTTCATCAGTTCACCTGATGGTCACCAGTCAGTCAAGTCAAGTCGTCAGCATCCACTTACCATCAGGTGGAGTGTGTGTTCGTTTGTAGATTACGTAGTCTTGGGTTCGGGTCTCGGGTCAAACTAAAATCAGTTAATCAATGGAGGCTATTGCAACTTAAAAAAAATTTACCTTATGCTAAAAAAGTCTACCTTATTTTATTGGATTAATATATTAAAACTATAAGATTAAGAAGGCATATAACGGAGATTCGTATCGACCTATAATGATGTCAAAAAGCTGTAAGATTTACCCAAAATCTTATTATTAACCCATGCCGGCAAAAAAAGTCGCATTAGCCCCATGTAATGTAAATGCAACTGTTTAAAATAACTTATTCGTTTTTGTAGCGTATGTGCTTAGAATCAGAGGCATGATCCTGCAGCGTGAAATTTTCGCAAAAATTATATCTAAGTTGAACCAGTCAAGTCCTAATACGACTAAAACTATATTTTGTATTTTTGGGGGCTATTGTGACTATTTTCTATAGGATTAGTGCTGTGTAGGCGTAAAAATATCGATAAACTGTAAAAAAGTGTAGGTAATCGATAATATGATGGGTGACTAAGTGAAATAAAACTATACATTGTTTTTAATTTATATTTATTTGACTTCACTTTATACTAAATCAACAGCACATATAAATCACATTTTATTAGAGGACAAAAAATTTCAATGGAAAATATTTATCAAATTTTCTTATGAGGACTTTATGCTTAATTGAAAAACAGATATAAAAATAACTACTTTAGCTTAACATCACTTTGTGTTTCAATCACATATTCATCACATTTTTAGAGGATTTTATACATAATTTGAAAAAAAAAAACAGATGTAAAAATAACATACGCGTTAGCAGTAACCATCACTGTGTTTCAATCAATGACACATATTAATCACATTTTTAATGTTTAAATACAAGAATAATATACTTAATATAATACTAAATCAAACCGAATCACTTCACTATTAAATCAATGGCAAATATTTATCAAATTTTCCTATGAGGACATTTTGCTTAATTGATAAAAAAAGATATAAAATAAACATACTTCAGCCTAACATCACGTCGTGTTTCAATCAAAGGCACATTTTTACTAAAAAGTTTAATTTAGACTTTATGCTTAATTATTATTATTTATACAAACAAGACAAAAATTATACTTCGTACACATCAATATTGTATGGAAACTTAAACAATTCTGCATCTAAGTTCTCTGGTTGTGGAAGATAAGTGTTTTTTCGTTTGTATGACTTGAGCCCTGTAACTACAATTTTGGTATCTGAGACTTCTTGTACACTACATACGAATTTGTAAGTCTTTTTGCCCCCTCAAAAAAACTAAATTTCGCTAAAATAAAAGTGCCTTCTTTTGGTACTTCTGAGACCAGAGATTCTTCCGAAAATGATGGCATATCTTTAGACGTAGTTGCCAATTCCATTAAATTAGATGAAGTTTCTATAGAAGCTGGTAAATCTATCGAAGCAGATGCCATTTCCGTCTAAGTAGATGCAATTTCAGAAACTTGCTTACAAGTTTCGTTAATGTCAATATCGTCGGAAAGTTCTGTAGTTAGTAAGGTTTCCCAAAAAGTATTAGCGTCTTCATCTGATGAATCATCTAATTGATAGGAACAACTGCTGTTACTGTCAGATTCATGGTTCTTTTTTATTTTATTGTTTCTTAGACCTCTCTTTTTTTGTTTTTCAATTTTTGTTTTTTCATCTCTTTTAGGTTGATTTTCTTTTCTTGTTTTCTTTACTCTTTTTTCTTCTTGTTCCTTTTCCATTCTCTCAATAACTTCCGAATAAGTTTTTTTTCTTTTTGGACTTGGAAGTGGTAATTTATATGTACGTGGATCTTCTACGGTCTTTGGATACGTGATTCTTTTTTGTTTTTCTTTTTCTAGAGTTATTTCAGTTTTGTTACTGAATTCTGTTATAGCTGTGTCATTCTGAATTTTCTTACTTTTTTCATAGGTTCTTATTGCTGTACTTGTTTCTTTTTTAACTCTTAGTATTTGATTTATTTCATATTTTTAGTTCTATTATTCTGGTCATGATATTGTATTGATTTAATCTGTTGTTGTCTTTCGTAACTTATCATGTTCTCTTTATTTTTAATCTTTTTTCCGTTTGTTTTGAATCTTTACAATATGTGGCTTTTATGATCTGGTTGAGAGTTTAAAGTTTTAAGTGCTAATTTAACGAGAGTTGGAACGTTTTTAAGAGGTTTGTTGACACATTTTTCAAATGGTGCTCGAACGGCTTCACTAACATCTTCGACGTAGTTGCCTTGCTCGTATGTTTGTCTTTGAACATACTGCTCCCATCTAGACCAAGTTAAGGGATCAAACTTTTCTTTTGGGATCACGTGCCGATTTAAGGGATAAATACCTGTTTTTTTTTTAAATCCATTGGCTAGAATAACAGGATTCATATCATCCCATATTTTAGTAATAATTCGTGGGAACTCACTTTTGGGTAACTTTGCTCCGATATGAAGCCTTTGCCATTTAACCAAGGCTTCTTCCCATCGATCCTTCATGGACTTCATTCCACTTACATCTAACGGTTGAAGGATATGTGAAGAATGCGGGGGTAACTTCAAAATGGTAACATTTTCGGAAATGGCGAGTTCGATTACTTTTAAATCGACATGTGTGGAGTGGCCATCATAAATTAGTAGAACTGGTCGCTCATTTCCGATCGCAGGTAAAAATACATTTTTAAAATATTTTTCGAAAATTGATGTTTCCATCCAGCCCTTTTGGCTTACAGCGTATGCTGTTTTCACACTATCATTTTTGTAACACCACTCGTTCCCCAAGTATTTTCCTTGAAAAATTATGAGTGGTGGGACTTTATCGCCGCGTGCATTAGTTGCCAATAGGACAGTTGTGTTATCACGTCCGGGGGAGCTAGTTGTCCTAGTAGAACTATACCCTCTTTGACCAAGCACTTTACTCTTGGAAGGATCGTTGCAAAAACTGGTTTCGTCTAGATTATAGATGCACTCAAGTTTCTCGGCCAGATCCAAATCATTTATGGCATTTTCCAAAAAATCAAAGTATTCATATACGGTGAACGGGTTGCAAGCTTTCCTTCTAGCTATTTCGACTGATTGTGGTTTTTTTAATGATAGATTATTTCCTTTGCAAAAGCGCCGAAACCAATCATCTCCAGGAATATTATCCTTAAATGGAGTTATCCACCCATTTCTTACAACGTATTCCGAAACCAATGTTTCGGAATACGTTAACTTCCTTTTTAGTTAGAGGAAAGCCATACTTTTCTAAAGTATGCAGATACGAAGCTATCTTGCACTCAATATCAATTGAAAATACTGTCTTCATTCCAGCATTCATCTGCTTCTGGTCACGGGTGCTATATAAATGCGAAATTATAGTAAATTTCGGAATATTAAAGTTGTTTTGTTGCCTCGTAGCTATTTAACGTTTTGTTTTTAACTAACTCGAGTGCCTCGAGAAGCTTTTCATTTGAATAGCTCTTCTTTTTTCTTAATATAATTTCGAACCATCTAATTGAAATAAGTCAAATAAATGAGAACAAACTTTTAAACAAAAAAATGATAGTTAAATTCAAATATCTCGAAAAAAAAGCATAAAAATAAAAGAGAACACTGTGTTCTTACTGTAAACATACATAAAATAAACAAAACGATAGAGTATATTACGGTGGGGGCAGTGCAATGCATTACCCTTTATTTAAGCAATTTACTCAGGTCCCGAATGCATTCAGATCGTGCTGTAACTGTATTGATTTATTATCAACATTCGACATCACTAGCATATTTATTTATATACAAACACAAAGGGGCTATTGTAACTAGACACAATAGCCCCACAACGTGGTAAATTGAGGCTAATGTAACTATTACATTATCTTACGTTTTAAAGGACCTAACTTAAAAATAAGTTTATAGAGTACTTACCGTTAGTTTTTCTAAGTTGTTGCATAAACCCTTGCTTAAAATGCACGATAAGTATTTTTTTTTGTTGAAAGTTTATGAGACGCTTTCCAACAAACACGAGATCAAAATGGCGACTAACAAAAAAGCTCTGGTAAGTCAAACAGTTTCGATCCAAGTGATGCCATCTGTTTATGATAGGTTAAACTATGATTTTTCTCCATGCCAATAGATGGCATTGTATTTAAAAAACCATAGAATAGAAGATATCGCTGTTGGTTGCTTTAGCCCCATAGTTGCAATAGCCTCCATTGACCTTATTGGGTTTTCTTGTCAAGAAATTCTGAAATTCTCGGTAGCTAGTAGTTGGCAGTGCTTTAATTCCCTTGCCTCGGAAAGCACGTTAAAGCCGTTGGTCTGATTTCTCTCCAGTCGTATTGGATAAACGTCCTATCGGACTATAAGAGGGGGGGGGATATAGAGTGCACCTATGCATACGCTTGGGCACTATATTGCTGTCCTACGCGGATTGATTGTCTCCGTTGAGACTGGCCAGGGTAATTTGGTCCGATGGACATTATTATTAGGATCATCACAGTTTAAAAACCAATGTTGGCCGTTAAAATATTTTTAAACTTAAATCATTGATATTTGATATCGTAACGTATTGCCAATATTCAGTCTCGTATAACGTTAGTATATGCCATCATATTTATTTGCTGTAGTTGCGAGGTTGCGTGGTCCGCGTGCCTTGTGCGATGTTCTTGTTGCGTTCAATGTTTGTTTCCTCATTCCGTACATGTCGTGCGTCAAGTTGTTACAATATCCTGAACACTTCACGCACACACACAATTTAAACTCTCGTCGTCTCGACCGGGGTAGGATTACCAGCGTAAAATAGCAGCATAATGCTGCTGTGTTTCGTATGTTGAGTTTAAGGGACCGGATAGCCTTTTTATTAGAAACGAGGCATTCCATCAAGTCTCAAGGATAACAACGCATCTGCACTGTGAATCTTAATTAAGGATAAATGTAGATGTGTATGGGCCACAGCATCCACGTATCATCAGGTGAACTGGGCGCTCGTTTGTCGACATTATTCTATAAAGAGTGATGCTAATGGACACGATGATACAACTGTTTTTGATCGCAGTGTGGGTTAGATCCTTTTTTGCGTAACTACGTCCATTTATACATTAGAATGGTATTACATTAGTAATACACGCCACGCTGTGATGTGAAGATGCTTCATAATTGTATTGGACATAGGTATATGATGATATCTCGCTGCTGTATTGTAACGCTTGGAAGTGAGGTCGCGCGAGGGCAGGGCCGCGGCCGCTCGCTGATGGCTGTTTGTTTCTATTTGCATTATTGATCTATGATGAGGACTAATGATTTTGCAGTACCATCATCATTGAAAAGTTGCATTTTAAATAAAAGTTTTTTGATTTCTAGAAACAGTGCCTTAGTGCTGTGATTTTTTTAACATTAGTTTTAAATTTTGCACACATTTTTTTAAATTCGTTTACTTTTAGGAATCTGTAGTTCTCCTTAAGTGTTGCCGCGGAAAAAGTCGTCGTCATTCAAATGATGCCCTCATAATGTTTGATTCAAAACGTAATTTCTCATTTTTAATGACATTGTATAACAAATAAGTTCACCAAGTTCACCTCACTCTAGTGAGCGTCAAACTATTAACTTTAATTAAACATTAAGAATTAAGGTGAAATTAAACGCGATAAAATGTGTAAAATTAGTTTAATTCCATGTTTAGTATTCGCGTAAATAAAATACATCATTGGATTTTTTTTTAAATTGGGGTACACATGTACCTCAGGATACCGTTTATCGGATTCTAATATGTCTACGGTTCTAGGGTTAACCTCTATTTGGGTATAATTAGTAAGGCCAATGAATTAAAAATTTCACTGAGTCGTTATTGCGTTAGCAATGCAGTCAAGTTCCGCTGGATGCGCCGACGAAACGCTCCAACGCCTCGCAAAAACACGAAGCGACCTTCCCATTTTACAACACCTTTGAACGTCTAATGACCCACATCGCCACTTGCCCAATCTATATCGAACAATATAATGTTTGTTTAAAAAATGTCAGCAAGAAGCGCTGAAACGAGTGACGTTCACAATAAACGATAGGCCTTGTAGATAATAGCGCTCAGCCGTCTGTTACAATTACTGGTGCTTCAGCACCGCAATCGGAGACGGGTGCCAGACAGTGAAGTGACGCGCTGTCATCTTTATGATCTCTGTCGCTCTACCCTCATCGTATGGACGAAAGACCGGTATATAAGAGTTTAGAGATACCAAATGTCAGGATTTGTCCTGACGTGTTGTCTGGTCTTTTTGTAGGATAAGAGTGGCAAACGAGCACACAGACCACCTTATGGTAAGTATATACTGTGGTTCAGAAACATCTACAGTAATCCTCGAGGAAGAATCAATCAATTAAAGAAATGCAGACGCGTTGTCACCCCCTGAGGACTAAGATGGAATGTGCCTTGCTTCCAGTAAAAAGGGTCAGTATAGTTGTAGCGCGAGTGGGTCGGCTCGACCGGGGAGGACCGCGCTTTCACAGAATACGGAATGTGTTGGTGTATGGTGAGTGTAGAGAACTGGAGACCCTTTTTAGTGGAAAAGAGGCATTCCATCTTAGTCCTCATGGGTGACAACGCATCTGCATTTTGATTTGTAATCGAAGATAGATGTAGATGTCTATGTGCCACAGAAGCCACTTACCATCAGGTGGACTGTGTGCTCGTTTGCCACCCTATCCTATAAAAAAGTGGATTAGCATTGAGTTGCGACGCTAAGGGTTCGAATCCCGCACGGAACAAGTATTTGTGTGGTCTACAAATAATTGTTCCGGCTCTGATCTGGTTTGTCCTTGTGCAATTTATATTAGTAAACTGCTTCCACGACGCAGGCGAAAATACTATTAAAATACTAACTTTTATAAAAAAAAAAAGTTTCGAATAGTCTATGGTTATGTATTACGATATGCTTTAAACCTCATGACGACTGCGAAATGTAATGGATTGCGAAAAAAAATAACTACAATTCTACTGAAATTTGTCTGAAGCCGAATTATAAAAACATTCGCAACAAAAGTTTTTAAGCATTTAGTGCTTAGTATTAATTTCGTGGTTGCGCTCCGCTTTCGTGCATTTGAAATGCAGTGCAGTAAAAAATGCTGATAAATGTTACTTTCTAGCTCGACATTATTGTAACTGTCGCTCTAGAAAGTAATTTAATGATATAATTGTTACTGGACATTGTTAATGTCATTTAAATTATTATATTTTTTGTTTAATTTTTTGTTACATGCTGTGATTGCCTATAATTACAATAATAGTGTCCTCCGAACCGAATGTCGGTTACGGCTCACGGCGACCAGTTTCAACGGAGACTAGCCATCTGCGCAGGCCGGTACTATGGTGGCTAAGTGTGTGCACTCTGCACGCACACAGGTGCACTCTATCGTCTCACTCTTATAGTCCGATGAGACGGTAATTCGACACGACCGGAGAGAGATTATTTCCGTGACAAGGGGTTGAACACCGCCACCTTCTGCTATTGAGAATTTGTACACAGGGAAATCCAATATTTTGACCAGACCGGGATCATCGCATTCTCATTAATCGCGTTTACCACCACTAGATCATCGAGTCAGTCAGTATAATGCCTATAATTATAAGATTCTTAAACTATATGTAATTTAAACTGTAGTGTTAACACATACACGTAATGCTGTTTCTTTTGTTGGCAATCCAATTAGTATTCTTAATTCGTATCTTACTGAATAAAAATCTATAAATGTATAAAGATTACATAAATACTTATTGAAAGGCATTAATGATTTTACCACTGGTTCAGAAAAAAAACCTGTCCTGGGAAGAACCAGTAAGAAACCCATTGGGGCTTTTATATTAACATTTGTAAATTGATAAATATACAATAGTTGAAAAATTACATAATATTCCTTTTTACTTATTTTTTTAACGCTACTAACATTTCTGATACTTACATTAACCACTTCTAGTAAGGTTAAAATGCATGTGTTAAGAGTGGTTCACCATAGAAGTTAAAAAGCGGATGTGAACCCACGTTTTTCGATATTGCAGTCCGACCTAATGGTCACTTAACCATTAGGATACTATAAATATAGGTCTGATAATTATTTCACAAAATACATATTGTGTACTTTTTTTTAAATAGAATAAGGGTGACAAAGGCGTGCACAGTGTGCACCTGATGGTAAGTGGATACTGTAGCCCATAAACATCTACATCTATC